ATTAATTGAAACAATTTCATTGGTGGCTGCTCCGTTTTCTTAACATAAAGAGCTGGTCACTAACCTTGAAATCCTAAATGCTTGTAAACAACTGAATATGACTACAGTATATCTTACATACTAGCCGTCCATGTACTTAGATCCCTTAGATCAGAGGTCCCCAACTTCCAGTCCACAGACCAGTCCTGGTCCACAACCTGTGGGGGACTAGTCCGCACAAGCAGTGGGTTAGCTTGCAAAACCTTCCCCTCCACCATCACCACTGCCAGTTCACAAAGCCAGAAAGGTTGACAACCGCTGCCTTAGATGTTCTACTAACTGCATAACAATTGGCTGGAATTGCAATTGCTTTGCCTAGATTTTAAAATTCTCTTTCTACAGAGATTCATCTCATATTCTGTAGTGAATTTTCTAACAAAATGAAAAATCAAGTTTCTTCTATGTCTAGTTTTTATCTCCAAAATGAACAAAATCTCTTATTAGTTTTTATTTTGTGAGCATATGTCTATATATTATATAGATATTTTACAATAGATACTGCTAAACAAAAAGATCAAGCTCTGAATTGTTTTTGTCATTAAGCAAAAGTAGAAATTATTTTAAAGTGTAATTCTTAATCTCCATATGGTATGAAACCAAGAATCTGTTTTACAAAAGCTGGATTTGATTTTATTTCTGCTCCATTCCACAGGCAATAGTGAAAAGGGAGAATGTTTGAGCCAGGTGCTTTACAAAGGAATTTTCTGCTGGAATGATTTAGCATTACATGAAAGGTGTCCCAAGACACAGAACTTCTACAATCTAATCTAGAACTCCTTTACCAGTGATCTTGTGAGTGATTCAGTGTTCAGATTATTTGACAGAAAAAGCAGATAAGAGTTACGAATGGGACAATATACCATAGAATATTACTCTAAAGAGAGGAATGTATTAAATCATTATTCTTTTTAACAAAATCTTGTCCCAAATGGAGATATTCTAGATTTCTAAAGTACACATTGAAAGTCTATAGATTACGCAGCGCATAATCTATAGACTTTCAATGTGGACTTTAGAAATCTGCGCAGAATTAGATAGGTTAACTAAGAGACTCAAAAATCAGGATGAAACGGATTTTTACCAAATTTGGGATAAATTTTATAGATGGTGGGGGAAAAAATATGGTAGTCATTGTAATGAGATAAATTAAGATTGAGATTAGAGTGATGTTATTGTAAAGGTTTTTTTTTCTTATATTAGTAATTAATTGTGAATATGAACTGTGATGTATGTCAAATCTGATTTACCATGTTCAATGTTTTTAATTTTTGTTATTCAATAAATATATATATATATATATATAAAAAGAAAGTCTATAGATTACATATCCAATGAATACAGCTGCAAACGGGAGAAAATGAATAGGAAGACCCTTATCACTTTCTAGGATTAAAAATTGAATTAACTACTGCCATCAAGTAATAAGCTTTATATCCAACTACAATATCAACATAGCTGAGCAGTAAAAAAAAAAAAAACAGCAGCGGGAAACCAATGTTTACCCAAGCAGTGGCATAACTGTCCCCCCTTCCAATAGTCCAGTATTCTGATACATCTTGTTTCTAAAGAGTCCTAACTATGACTTCCATTCACAGGACATCAAGCCACTATCAAAAATAGTAGAAATGCACAGTAATTAAGCAATTACATATTTACTGCATCAAGTAAAGCTACAACCTAAAAAATGCAGCTATGAAAACTTGCTTCTGAATATATTTGCTATGCTGACCTTCAAACTGTGATAACAAAATAGCAAACAAGTGTAAATTTTAATCAATAACTAATTTATTACTTCAATTGCTGAAATAATTAAATTACTGGGCAAATAGATAAAATCTACTATCCCACATTCTGTACAGAAAGAAATAAAATGTAGAATTTTAAACTAGCATGCATGTTTCCAAATTGTAAAGAACTTAAATACAGTAGACTATAGGAGATAATATAAAAATCTAAAAAATAATTTACCTGTAAATTATCATAGTTTGAACCAAAATAGAACTTTGTCCAAATTCCAGTGGTTTCAGGAGATTTGATGAGGATAATGACAATATTATTAGGTGATATATTAACTTCACTTTCTGGAGAAGATAATTTATTTTCAGGAAGAAATTGCAAGAGGAAATTGTAGGAAACAGAGTCTTTGTTTGCAAAATTCACCCAGTAGTAATTTGTGCCCACTTCCCCCTGGAAACTCAAGGGAACAATATCTGGAACCTGTAAGAGGATCACCAAAGACTTTTCATCTTGAGTACAATTAAAAGGAGGATATAGAGTGCTGGCAGAAGATATTGAAGGATCAGAACTGCAAGTAGAGGTTATATGAGTATCTACAGCAATTTCAAGCTTTTGTGAAGGCTGAACAGAAGAAACAGTGGTTCTCTTTCCAGGATACAAAAAAGTATGTTCCACGTGGTTAGAAGAAGTGGAGTTTGCTGTATCAATTGACAAAGTTGTCTCCGAATGATCCAAGCTATCAGAGGACCATATACACGGGATTGTGCTGTTATCTGGACATAATGGGAGTTCAACATTAGCGATGTTGGAACTTTTATTAAGTTCCATGTCGGTACAGAGATGTTCCTGATTTAAAGAAACAACAGGATCTGTAAGGAACTCCCAAGTCTGGTCAGTATGCAGAGAGGGGGAAAGGGAATCTAAGCCGGTACCTTCAAGCTGTGCACCCAAGATCACGTTATTACTGCTTCTGGTCAGCCCCGGATCCCTTTCACTATTGTTCTCGTTGCACACCGGAAGTGCGGCATTAAATTCAGAAGCACAAGAAACAATGGAATTCTCTTCTCCCGAACGCATCGAAAACTCCAGATTGTTACGTACAGTCCGTTCGTGAGAACTGAGCGGAACTGGGCCGTTCACGTCAGAAACTAAACCTGCCTCCACAGTATCATTTGTTGTAGCAACAGCCGAAGAGAGTGTCGGAGTTATTTCTACGTCGGACACAAGAACGGGAAGCGCCTGTTCAGAATAGCTGGTCTTTTCACACACTCCCGCACCGTCCATATCCGGACTGATGCATCTGTCTTCTTGCAGCTGCTCCTCGTTTTCTGGCGAGGCCTCGATTTGCTCTTGCGCAGCTTGAATGCTGAAAGTAAACCTCGGGTCAGGCTTCCGCAAAACCGGCAGCACGACCACCAGTTGATTCTTGGCTTTGTTGAACGTGGCTCGTCCACGGTTCTCCTCCACGGCGTAGGGCAAAGGGACGCGCAGGTGGTAGGCAGCAGGGCGCTGCGAATCCAGCTGGAGTTCCTGGCCCCGGATCTCCAGCTGGGCCTGGGCGGCAGAACTGAGCAACGGCAGTTCAATGGTCACCACCAGCTCGCCGGGGATCGGGCTAGGCGCGGAGTCCCGGCTGTTGCGATAATCCTGAAGGTCCACGTAGGAGCGGTGCTTGAGGGTCCATTGCGGAGTGGTGGCAGACGGGGCTGGCTTGGGCGGAGGGGGGCTTTGAGTTTCGTACTGTGGACTGGGCGGCGGATAGGTGTAGGGCGAAGGGAAAGGCGGCAAGGGAGAGTCGCCTGGCTCTCCACCCTCTTCTGGGGATGGCCGAGCTCCTGCGGCAAGCGGCGTCCGGAGCAGCGTGGCCTGCGGGACGCCCTTGTACTTGATGCGGCGGAGGGGGACGGCGTTCGTGCGATCCAGTTGCGGGGAGAAGTTTTTCTCTACCGCCTCCAAGGACGTGTCGTTTACCAGGCGGCGGAATTGGGCTAAACGGGCGGCTAAGCGCAGGGTATGCGGATGGAAGACGACGTCGTAGACCAGGCGGCGAGGTCCACGCGGCTGGCTGCGGCTCAGTTCTTCGCGGCCCGGCGCTAAGGAGTGTGGCAGAAGCCAGCAGTAACCTCCAGTCTCTGGCCGAGGCTCCGGCCTCCCTATTAGTGGGTTGCTGCAGATGTTGATGTAACAGCGCTGGCTACCAGCCTGGCTCGTGCGCAGGACCCAGCCAGGCGTGGGGTGGAGGAAGCGGGCTTCGACGCCCCGCTGTCGCTCCATAGCTATCACTTCGGCCTCATAAGTGGCCCTTTGTTCTGGATCGTTCAGTTCGGCCACGTACTCCGCGAAAAGAGTACGGAAGCCCTCGTCCTTGAAAGCGCTTGTTAGGCGCTCGGCTTCTTCTCCAGTCAGATTCAAGTCCTCCAGGTCTAAATGGCCCGCCATGTATGCAAAGGAGACTTCGTTTCCTTTGCTCGGCCGATTCGACAGACAGTTGCAAAAAGGGAGGGGAGCGAGGAGTCGTCCTGGTCTCTGTAGAGATGAATTCAAACGATGTGGCAGTTATCGCGCTCTCGTGGTTTTTGTTGCCATGGAAACATTCCTAACAATATGGCAGCCTGGTCTGTTGACATAGCGACCACAGTAAACGGAATGCCAGCCCATCCCCTTTTGGGACGCAAAACAGACTAGCGCTGTTCAGAGCGTGGATCTCTTTATGGCAAAGGGATCTTTGCCAGAAAATATAACGAACCAGGATCAGAGCCACGTTGTGGTAGATACTTGACAACATACTGGGAGCCTTCCAAACTGCCTAACTAAAAGAAAACTCAGCAGCAGGTGTAAACTTCCTGTCTCTATTCTTGTGGAAAAATAAAGCTTTAAAAATATAAGGACTTTTACGAAATTCCAAGGGTGAAAGAGAGATTTTTATTTTTGCGCAAAAGGTTCAGAAGTGATTTTAACAATCAGCAAATTTCTGAACAAGGGAGAGGGTCTAAACTAAAGCTTTATAGGTTTCTTTTTCTCAGGAACAAAGGAAGCATAGATGGAATCTTACATTGTATACGGAATCTACTTTGTGTAACATTCAGATAGTTTCTCACAGGTTAGCTCCATTTCTCATGGGAATACAATGAAGGCAGTTTTTACTTTTATACAATGTTTCTAAATATGCATTAGGTCATTCACGTACTGTTAATACAGCTTTTGCTAACAGCTTTCTTTTCAGAGATTATGCAGACACATGATTTTTGCTTTTAGTGATTTCTCATTATTATTATTATTATATTTATTCTTCTTTATTCTATGTTATTCTATTTCTTTCCCACATTACTATGAAGTCTAAGAAGTCATCTTAGAGTACAAACATTATTAAGTTTTGTTACCCCTGAACATTTTTGGGATAGTGCAGCAGAGTAGACCCAGCCCTCAGTTCCCTTGTATGCCTAGAAGGCAAGAAATAAGCTGCTGGTATCAGGAACAACTACTGCATCTGCTCTTTCAAATACCACTTTTCCTTGGCTGGCACAATGGTGGTCATACTCGCAGGGCCCAGACAGAAAAGAATAAGCAGATGTAGTTACCAATTCTGTAAGCAGTAGATATAACTTTTCTTGGGTAATCATGCCTTAGCTCAGTGTGCCATTACAGCTATCATACCTGTTGTGATGGCCAAAAGCAAACTGCTGATAAGTTGGAGAGGATCATACCCAAGTTCCATCAATCGAATTTCTCTCGTAATCCAACATGAAAGCACTTTTTCAGCAAATAACTTAACATTTATTCCCGTCTTATATAGCTTACTAGACAGCCCATGACTTACTGGGTCAACATTTCAGAGATATTTTCATAGCACATTCCTCAATGCTTTTGAACAGTGGCAGAGCTTTTAATGTATTGCAAACTTTTTACAAATTCCAAGGAAATATTCAAAGATGTACCTTCTTTAAAAGTAAAACTATATAGCATAGTCAAACATAGCAGTTGATCACAGGAAATGTTTTATGACATATGTCACAAAAAGCTTTATAATTTTTGCCATAAAATATTTTATAAAAATTGTCACATTCAAATTCCATGGGAATCATGGAGTCAGGAGTTTGGGTGCATACTTTAAATTAGCCCATTTGAAGTACCATGTATAAAAAAGTTTGATGCATTGTTTCGCCCAGCTAAAGGTTACGGGAACAAGAGTTTTAATAGTATATAAATGTACTCAAGGCCATTAATATTTTAAAATAACTTAAGACTTCCATTGTGTGTGATCCTTTCTAAACTTCTATCAGAATAATTCCTGAAACATGCTGTTGGTATGTACAAGTAACTTCTGGGCAATATCCTCTTTCATTTAAAAGAAAAATTGTTTTAATTTTCTAACATCTTTCCTTTTAAGACATTATTGATACTTTACAACAGGAAAAGAGCAACAGCCTTTATTGCTCTTCTAAATTCAGATCAGTTGTAGATTTTAGCTTTTTTACTTTGGGTCATGATGCCTTTAAATTCTGGGCGTTGTAGTTCTAACTAAATTGGAGGCATTGGAGTTTGGGATAGCTGCTTTAATATTTAAGGATATTACACTAGTTCTGTAGTTCATAAAGGAGAAAAAGTTGAGCCACTGAAATGGTTAAAATGCTATAGCGAACAGTTTGTATGCAGGTGTCTTAAAAAGTTATAAAACCAGTGATAGTTGACTTTTTCTCCATTTTAGATGTTCCATCTTGGTTGCATAACATGGATAGGGATGTTTTAATTTGGTCATTTTTAAAGGCCAGTATTTCCTCCCATATACAGTCCTGTTTAAAATTGTATATTTGTTCTAAAGAATATTCATGTTACTTGCTTACTACTAATTAGAAGAAAATTAAATAGATTTTTGCTTTGAATATTTTGGAAGTGAGGAGCAGTAGAAAACATTTTTTTGTAAATTATTTGAAGTATAAGATGTGACACATGAATGAACATCATTATATAAAAAGGTATTTACAAGATATATAATACATAAGATATATTAGCAATAACATGTAGTTACAGTCATGATCCTAAATTTTAAGAAACACTTGTAGTACTTCAATCATTTTAAGGCCACAAACTTTGGCTTATTCTTCCTGATTGAGATTTAGAGACCATGGAGTTTGCTGAAAATTTAAAACAAAAACAATGTTAACTTTACTTGTAACAGCATTGGCAGTTTTGAAACCAACATTGTACTTTTCTTAAAGTATTTAAAGAGTACTTCTTTATCCTCTGCACTGAGAATTAAGTGTAAGTGCCATTATATACTTGTCTGAGATTACATCAAGGATTAAGACTTGATAATACAAAACAGACTTTATTTATATATCTTACTGAATTATTCACACATATATTTGTCCTGGAACATAACTTTCAAAAATCAGATAACAATATTTAAAAATACAGAATAATCCACTATATTAAATTCAATTACTCAAACCAGATGGAAGGAAAAGCAAACCTGGAAAACACAGGTTTTTTTAAAAAAAAACTTCAACATTTATACACTAAGGCCACTTGTTATTTAAAAGTACAAGGTTCACTACATAAAAAACCTGTGAGGAAAAATATCCAATTGGGTCTGCTTAATAGTAGCCTAAGTAAAATGGCTCCAAATTGTTTATAAAGCTCAAGCCCCGATTTAATAACTGGTACAGAATTGGTGTTCCATGTTTTGATTGCTTGGTTTCAACAATCTGTCAAGCAAATTCTGTATCTTTCTAAAGCGGTCCCATAGTATATCTAATTTGGGTATAGTTATAAATCATTAGTCATGCCAAAATACAATTTCTCTAGGGTATTTAGCGAAAGGACATCATTAATCTTGTTTATTAGGTGACACTCTGTGGATGTATTTAGGATAAATACTCTACTATTATCAAGTTCAGAAACAGGCTGAATTATATTTACTTATTCATGCTCACAATGAGTATTCTGTTTTTTAAGTTTCAATTTCTCTATTGAGATAGTTTTGTAATTTGATTTAGGACTTTCAGGACTGACATCAACAATCATTTGCCTCCCTTTTCTATTACATTAGGGTACTGGATAGCTCAAGAAGATGCTTAAGTTGCAGAAGCCAACTCAAAGGCCTAATAATGTCCATCCGCTTTTTAAGGGGTTATAGTGAGCCTGAAAATTAATCAGGCAATAATTTACACCAATACAATTATGAATACACGAATCATTTTGCCCTAGAAGAATTCCAGATCCATTGGGAACCCTCCCCAAACATGCTCAGCTTGATATTATTGGGAACAGCTTGTTGTTAAGAAATTAAGTCACTATATCCCAGTATTGTATACATTAGCTCTTCAGTTATGTCAAATATAGTTAATAGCCTGCAAGGTGTATTTGGAAGTTTTCTACATTTTACCTACCTAGCTAACATGAGCCACTGTTACCACATTGGTCCAATATCAGTTTATTAACTGTAACTGCTTCCATATTACCAAATCTGCATTTATTTATAGCACTTTCAAATATGAACTAAAGACAAGCTACCTTTACTTCTGAGCACAGACACCGTGCAGTCTGAAAGGAAATCCTTTCTGCAAAAAGATGTCTCATTACCTTATCCTTGTCAGAGCTGTGCCCTTCAGCACAATAACCCCTTCTTTGTTACTGTTCTAGTTATCTCTTATTCCTGAATTCTTATTATTATATCTATATAAAAGCACATATTTATTTTACATAGACATTAATAGTGATACAAAATAATGGTGATAATTTATTTTGTCAAGTTATATTTATTCAATAACTCTACAACTATCAAGTTGTATCTGTTTTTATCAGACAGCATGAAGAACAGTAAATTAGATGTTCTTCTATACTCAGTAATTTTTCTTTAAAAAGTGACCTTACCTGTCTTCAACAGTTTTGCTCGAGGGGTAGAAAACTTTGAATGAAAATCCACTCCTTGGAAAAGATCCCTGGTATTTAAGAAAAACAGCATAGGAAAAATTTTCATCCATGCCATCTTCTTGAATATATGCCTTTTCTTTAGGTATAATTTTAAAATACATACTTAACACCTCTAAATATGTTCAAATACATCATGTAGTAACACTTTATTAATGAAAATTAATACGATAGTAGTCATTACAAATTAATTTTTTCTTTTATTTTCTGTCTATAATAAATAATTTTTAGCCTATCTTAAAACATTTGAAAATAAGATGGATGCTATGACAGAAAGATTATTTTTAATGGCAGAAAATGCGACTATGCTTCATAATGATGCAGACAGTATTTATTATGAGAAGAACAACAAAAATCCATGATAGATACTATCTGGATGATTTGTTAGTCTGGGATTTGATCAGCTTTGTTATTTCTAATATATTTTGCTTGTTAGAAACATGTTTTCATCATTGTTTGAAGATGGAAAAATATAAGCACGATCTTACCGGATTTATACAAAGGCAATCAGTGTTGGTTACAGTGAATGGGTCATATTTGTCAGCAAAAACAATCAGATCTGGCAAAGGGTAAGTTCTCAAGGTGTAGTCATAGGCCCAATAGATAGGGCTGACATTAAGAGGCAATGGAGTCAAATGTCCTTGTGATAAAATAGTTTTTACAAACTGAAAGGTGAAAAAACAGAGCTATTAAATTACATATGACGGTAAACTGATGTTACAATTCTTTCCAAACATATGACCCCTCAACTCACCATGAATTATTGCAAATAAATAATTACAGATTTCAAAATTGATTTTGTCCTATTTGTTGGTCAGTAAAATATGTTTGTTAATATACCTGATTGGTTTACAGGTTGTAGAACCAGATCTAGGATTTATTTCAATTCCCTCAGTTTTGAACGAACTTGAGAACACTGTTCTGAGTAGTATTGTGAGATTCCCTTAAAATTACATCATCTAAATGAGAGTAATTACCCTGCAGAGCTGATGAATAGCTGCAGAATATTTCAATGAATCATTCTTTGCTGGGAAAATTATTCTCCATTTTAGTGAGCATATTATCTTTTAATATAGTTATTCCACTAAGTTACATGTTTCATTCTGTCTCTCATTTTCTCTGCATTGTTTCCATGAAATCTTTGTAAACTTGTTGGATGTTGTCTGCCCAAACAGTAACATATCAGTAAGAACTCACATACTTCTTTCAATTTCTTAGCCAATCAAAATCCCTCAACCCAAAGATTATTTCAAAATATTGAATGTTTTTTTGATCTTACATGATTAGGAATATCCAAACTACTGTTAGGGAAACGAACACAGTTACGGCACATCTTGTTTACCAAGTCTTCCCGAAAGATTATTATTTCCTGTGTATAGTACTGGACTCTGAAAGTAACAAATGCAACTTTTATCTCTTCTGAGGGTTTTCTAGTTACCAAAGATAATTTACCATTAAGTCCAATATGCCAGCAGCTCTGTCCCAAATTTTTATATAGATTTTGTTGTTAAGTAATAGAGGTACTGTAAGTGGTCTCTATGTACCTGCAACCTCAAAAATACTTCCAGATTACATTGTTGAACTCCTAAATTTACCTAATGTATCCTCAAATAGCAGTTTCAGTCCATTTTTGTGGTTTGGGAGGGGGGAAATGGAAGTTGGACTTCTAGAAATCAACATTTGGCAACAAACAGCTCAAATTCCCATTATGGAGCAAAATTCCACCTATCATGGAATGCCAGTGTTTTTATACCATCACCAAAAAATAAATAAAATAGGAGCATATTCGTGACCATTTACTCCAATCCTGTGCCCAATGAGGAAACCCCCTATTATTAAATGGGACAAATACCTGCAAGGATTTGTTGTGAAAACTGAAAATGGCACCTGTTGTCTGAATTCTTCAGTAATGTTTTCAGTAAGTGGTGGCCTAAAAAAAGTATATGTGTCAAAGCATCCTTCAGTGACATAATCTTGTTATAAATATTAGGTCAAAAATGTACCTTGGTAAAATGGAGCCTGGACCAGGGTCTTCAGAACCAGGAACAAATACAAATCGACTGCTACAAATAACGAATGAATACATTTGATTTAGTATTGCTGGCAGGTATAAAATGAAATATTCATTAAAATTTAGTGTAATGTTATTAAAGATAATTAGGGTTTCAGAAGCTGGGGAAAACAATATTTGGCTTGAATTAGGCAACTTTCCTGGGAGTTCTCATCAGTAGAACCAGAACTTCCAAAATAAAGTATGAAGGAGTTAAACTGAATGCAGCTTCCAGTAGCAGCATCTACCACACACCAGGACACCAAAATGTTGACATGCCTATAGATATCATGAATACAGCTCAAGTACGTCAGTTAGGGCCCTTGTATGATGTCACACATATTTTTATCATTTGCTATCGTACCCACAATGCACTCTCATGGCCTCCAAGTCTGACGGATGAAGAAAAAGTCATAATACTTCTGGATTTTGTAACTTCAGTTCCCAGCTAATACAATACTCATCAGAATTGTTTCAGTAGAATTTTTAGCTACTTTACAAAATATATTAAGCTCAGTTTAAGTCTATATATATATTTATAGCTGGAATAAATTTCTGCATGGGATGTTTTCTATGTGATTAATGTGAGATACAACTGTTCTATAAAGATTTTTTCACCAAGCAAATACTATGGAACATACCTTTCATGGATACTGGGATATTCACATATTATATCTGCTAGGGCTTTCAAAGAACCTAAAGAAATAAAAAAAAAGTACTGTACGGTAGTTCTTTTCTTTTCCTCTTGCAATCTTCATTTCAGGATTAGAAAACAAACCAGAAAAATAACCCCATTGGGGTTCAGAAGGCAAATATAAACCATACTTTTATAAAGAATAAGCATTATTGTCTTGAAAATTCATATGTAACTGACATATAAAATATAAAATAATATATTAGTTATTCAAAAAAAAAAAAAACCAGGAAGTTGATGGATTTCAAGTACCTTTTAGTGACTGAATTTGATTTTTTCCATATGGAGTAGAAGAAAAATTCCCACAGAAAAAAAAACAAGTTGGAGGCATGGCCGAGTAACCTAGATGGAGAAACAAGGACTATTATTCATATTTCGTTTGTAGGAAAGCTCTTCTCCATTGAGAATGATATAAAACATCACTGAGGAAAAATCAAAATTTGCATCCATCTCACATATCAAAACAATATTTAGTATTATTCTAATGGTAAGTCTATTTTTGCCTGTCAATTCATTTCATTCGCCCTTGCAGCTGAGGTTAGTTTGTTCTATAAGCCTTGAATTGAGAAAACAGTCAGGTAACTGTTGAATTAACCTGGACAAATTTGCACTTGCTAAGGAAGGGCAACAAATAAATAATACTTGAGGCTGAAATATATGCTTTTCTTTACATGCAAAAAGTTTATTAAAAGTTTCAGGCTAACTACTTAAGTTAGGTATTAAGAGTTCTGCTGAATCACAAGTCCATCTTGCCCAGCAACCAACACTTTTAGAAAATATTAAAGCATATTGACAATGCCTCTTTAATGCTTTTGCCTCTAGGCAATTGTTTTTTAATAGTTCATTACCTCTGTATAGTAGCGTTCTACTTTAGCACCATATTTAAAAGCTGTTAATATGTCTCCTTGCTTTGTGAACTAATTTTCTTTGAGAACTATATAAAAAGGCTGTCAGTTCACAAATGGAAAATGAACTATGATTCACAGGTATTTAATTGTGGAGCTGAGGGTAAACCCAAAATTTGTGTGCATTAAGTATTGCCCAATTATGGAAGGAAAGTCTCCTTTCTTGGAAACTTCAAATGTCAAAAAAGCAGCCATCCTCAACCATTTCCAAACCTGAAGCTAGAGACAGGAGCAAAGCATTTTCCACAGCTTCAGAGTTGCAGCTCAAGGGTGAATAAATAAATAAATAAATAAATAAAACCTGGGCAGTCATAATTAAATATTCTGAGATAATTATCAGATACAAAATGTGGCATGCTAACCATATCGTGGAGCAAGTTCTATAAATGTATTATGTGATGATCTGCTCTGCAAAAAGATAAAACTCCTTGCCTGATTCTACTACCAGCAGATATCACTCAAAGATCAAAATTCTATATTATAAACTTGAGTAAAAAAAAAAATTCTTAAATTGTTTCATTGCATAAACTGAACAGCTTGGAATACTTCAGCCTTTCCTTTGAGAAATCTAGCCCATATATGTGGAGCAACAGGGTTACCTGAAAACATAATACGGAGATTTTCTAAAACTTCTGCTTGGTCCAGCCAAACATCTGAAAGGAACACAAACATGGCATCCTCGTTTTCTTCCTCCATTTGTTTCAGTTTTGCAGAAGATTTTACAGAGGTTGAAGAAGGCCCTCCAAAAAAGTTAATGTTGCCATAATATGCCCTGTAGCATAAACAAATATTTACAGGTTGTACTGAAGCTCATACTTCTCTCAAATCATGCAATCAGGTTGCTCTTTATTTTATGAAGTAGAGGTAATCCTCGAATTATGGCCACAATTGAGCCCAACATCTCTGTTGCTAAGTGAGACAGCTGTTAAGTGAATTTTGCCCCATGTTTCAACCTTTCTTGCCACAGTAATTAAGTGAACCGCCATAGTTGTTAAGTTAGTAACACGATTGTTAAGTGAATCTGGCTTCCCCATTGACAGTGCTTGTCAGGTCATAAAAGGTGATTCCGTGACCCCGTGACATTTTAATGTCATAAATATGAATCAGTAGCCAAGCATTTGAATTTTGATCACTTGACCATGAGGATGCTACAGTGGTGTAAGTGTGAAAAACGGTCATAAGTCACTTTTTTCAATGCCATTTTAATTTTGGTCACTAAATGAACTGTTGTAAGTCGAGAACTACCTGTATATTACACATTAAAAATAAACCCAACTCTCACAATTCACCTTCACTTAATTATACAAAGTTTCTAATATTTAAATATTGTTTAATCACCTGTATTCCCAATTCATGGAACCATATTACAATCTGTCATAAGCCATTTTGACCAAACTGCTGCCACAAGAGTTGCCTCGTAAGGAGATGGGCAGGAAATAAATTTAATAAATAAAATAAAAATAAATAAAATTTCCAACTTGAAAAAGGGAAATCAACTTTATTTGCCTTATAATCTGCTCTAATAGTTATTTTAAAATGTTTCACTCCAAAATTAAAAAGCAGGAAAATTCATTTTTGCTGCAAGCTTATTTTGGGGGGAATAATAGGGTGCGGTTATTCATATCCAATTTTAATGACATTACAATCTCAGATTTCCCAAATTGTGATTATGGGCAACTCTCAATTTTGAATCTGGAAACATTTTAAAAATAATTCCAAAGGTGATTTTTCAAAAGGCAATTGAACTGGACTTTCATTTTTCCTTGAAGGCATTTTATTTCTCATCCAAGAAGTCTCTTCAGTTCTGATCAAGAAGTTTCTTCAGTTCTCGGAGGTTTTCACAATAGAGAAAGGTACTAGACAGGGGTGTCCTTTATCGCCATTGTTGTTTGTTTTAACATTGGAAATATTATTGATCAAAATTCGAGAGTCTCAGGAAATTAAAGGAATATATGTTAATAAAAAAGAATATAAGTTAAGAGCTTTTGCGGATGACTTGGTTGTTACTTTGTCGCAACCTGATTATTCTGTAGTAAACTTATTACAGTTGATTCATCATTATGGCTTGGTCTCGGGTTTCAAGATTAATGTAAATAAGACCAAAATTTTACCTAAAAATATGTCTAGTCAGGAGAAGCAGATTTTGACTAACCTGACGGTTTTTGAGATTGTTAATAAGGTAAAATATTTGGGGGTGATGTTGTCTGTTTCTAATGTAAAATTATTTAAAAATAATTATGAAAGGTTGTGGGTCAGGGTACAGAAGGATTTGAAGAATTGGGAGAAGTTGCAATTATCCCTCATGGGAAGAATTGCAGTGATAAAAATGAATATTTTACCTAAGTTTCTTTTTCTGTTTCAAATGTTACCAATTTTGAAAAATGAGATTAATTTAAATGAGTGGCAGAAGGGTCTTAATAAATTTATCTGGGCAGGGAAAAAGCCAAGGGTTAAGTTTAAAATTATGCAAGACTTCCGTGAGAGGGGTGGACTTAAGGTACCAAATTTGAAATTATATTATGATGCGGTGGTTTTAACACTAATCAGTGATTGGGTAAATTTGACAAACTCTGAGATACTTTATCTAGAGGGATGGGACTTACTTTATGGGTGGCATGCCTATTTAATATTCAATAAAAAAATGGATTGGGCTTTTAAATCTCATATCTTAAGAATCTCTTTACTTAGGATTTTGAGAAAATATTATAAAAGTGATTTCAAAGTACCATTATGGGCTATACCTTGGCATGCGATAGAAGCAATAAAAAGAGGGGTTAAAATGGATATGGTGTCCTACAGACAGTTACTTAAATGGGATTGACAAAACTGGCAATTAAAATCACGGGAAGAGTTAGCACAAGAAAACTTTATTTATTCTTGGTTCCAATATAGGCAATTATTAGACAGATGGAAGATGGATTGTAAGGTTGGTTTTCTTAGAGAAGATGAAAATCTTATCAAGCAAGTGAAGGATTCAAGACAAACCCACATTAAGAGAATTTATGCGGTTTTAGTTGAATTGGATTCAGAAACGGAACTAATTAAAGATTGTATGATAAGATGGGCGCAGAATTTTGGTGAGCCAGTTTCATTGGACACCTGGGAAAAAATTTGGGTGAGAAATGTCAAATTTACACAAGCACAGAATTTAAGGGAGAATTTTTATAAAATGTTTTATAGATGGCACCTTGATCCACAAAAAATGTCTTATATGTACCCTGACGTGCAACCCAAATGTGGGAGATGTGGTTATAAGGAGGCTTCCTATTATCATATTTGGTGGTCATGCAGAGAGATAAAAGCATTTTGGATCAAAATATGGTGGAATATCCAGAGAAGTTTTAGAAGGAGGGTAAAATTTACTCCGCAATTATTTTTGTTAGGTATTGTTACAGATTGTGATACAAAGGAGGTTGTATTGATGGTAAATTTGATTACAGCCGCTAGGCTGTTAGTAGGACAATATTGGAAGAAGGAATCCTTGCCTACATTGCAGGAATGGTTTCTTAAAGTAGCTTATCTGGCGGAAATGGCAAAGATCTCGGCTTTCTTAAAGCAGCAAACGCAAGAGAAGTTTCTTGCTGTTTGGGATAAATGGATAAAATTTATACAATTTAGATTGGGTATACAAAAATATTATATAGTTTTTTCATAAGTTTTATTTTTATATATATTATAGATAATCTTTTTATATATATAAATATAAATTTCTTAATTTAATTTTTATTTTTACTTTTTAAGCCTATATTCTGCTCTGGGAAGCTCAGGGGGGGGGGAAGGGAGGGGGGGGGAAGGGAGGGGTGGGGTTTTTTTTTTTTTTTATATGTATTGTTTAGTTTTATTTTTTTGTATATGTTGTCTCTTGTTTTGTATTCTTTTTTTTTTGTAAAATTTATAAAACTTTTAATAAAAAAAAAAAAAGAAGTTTCTTCAGTTCTGAGTAGTTATTTTTAAATAAAAATATAGTACAAACGTACGGCATATCAGTCGAATAAGCTTTTCTACTGTATACCTTACCTGTTTCTACTTCTCTCTTTTTCTATCTACCACATTGTAATCCATTCCCCCTCTAAATCACTTTTTTTTTTAATTCTCAATCAGTATTCTGTCCTGTTAAATAATTATGGGACTGTCTTTTTTAAAGATCTCATCCTCCTTAAAGTTTCTTTTGCAAGAATTTTTGTAAACCTTGGGATTTTTACCCCACAATTACTCCATTTTCATGTCCGTAGCTGCTGATTTTTTTCTTCCATAAACACATAAGCATCCCTCCTGAGGTTATTGGAAATAAGTAAAATACCTAGTGGTGGCAGAAGGTTCTATAGGAGGAAATCCAAAAGCAGTGACATGAAATATTTCATCTTCATACCAGCCTGTGGAATACAGTAAGCAAAGTTCCTAGTATGTTTATCATTATTTCAAAAGGAGAAACAATACCTATAACTATCGTGTCAATCTAAGTCTCTCACACAAAATGAGAGATTTAATCAGAATGATCAAATTTAATCAGAATATTTTGAAAACAGTTACCCAAAACCAGTTACTCAAAGGTTCTTCAGTTGTAAACTCATCCAAAATACATTGTTTTTGCTTCTAAGATTTCATAGTAGAACTATAGTTAATAGGAACATTCACATACCATACTTATCCATCAAATGATTAACTGGTGAATATATTCTCCTAAAGCCTTGTGAACTGGCAAAGCAATATTATGTATAAACAATTCCCTGTAATTTGCAAAATGATTTTCATAACCTAATACAGAACGATATTATTTCCAGCTTACTAGAATCCACAGTGTACAGTCATGACTGGCAGTAGGTTAGTCTCAAGCAGCAGTTCTCAAACATTTTGGTCTTGGGACCAAAAAGGATCTGGACAGACTTGAACACTGGGCACTAACTAACAAAATGAAATTCAATGGTGAAAAAAGCAAGGTTCTACATTTAGGCAAGAAAAACCAAATGCACAAGTACAGCATAGGTGGCACCATGCTCAATAGTAGTAACGGTGAGAGGGACCTCGGAGTCCTAGTAGACAATCACTTAAATATGAGCCAGCAGTGTGCTGCAGCTGCCAAAAAGGCCAACACCGTGCTAGGCTGCATTAACAGAGGGATAGAATCAAGATCACGTGAAGTATTAATACCACTCTTCAATGCCTTGGTAAGGCCACACTTGGAATACTGCATCCAGTTTTGGTCACCACGATGTAAAAAAGATGTTGAGACTCTAGAAAGAGTACAGAGAAGAGCAACAAAGATGATTAGGGGACTGGAGGCGAAAACATATAAGGAACGGTTGCGAGAATTGGGTATGTCTAGTTTAACGAAGAGAAGGACAAGGGGGGACATGATAGCAGTATTCCAATATATCAGGGGCTGCCATAAAGAAGAGGGAATTAAGCTATTTTCCAAAGCACCTGAAGGCAGGACAAGAAGCAACGGGTGGAAACTCATCAAGGAGAGAAGCAACCTAGAACTAAGGAGAAACTTCCTGACAGTGAGAACAAGTAATCAGTGGAACAGCTTGCCTCCAGAAGCAGTAAATGCTCCAACACTGGAAGTTTTTAAGAAGAGACTGGACAGCCATTTGTCCGAAATGGTGTAGGGTTTCCTGCCCGAGCAGGGGGTTGGACTAGATGACCTCCAAGGTCCCTTCCAACTTTACTACTATTACTATTACCCCTTTACCTTCTTAGAAATGATTTGAGGATCCCAAAGAGCATTGGTTTAAATGGGCTATATCTGCATTGAAAATTAAAATGTATACATTTTAAAATACTTATTCATTTGATTTTACATAACCCATAAAAGGGTTTCAGGGACCCTAAATTTTGCAAATCACAGAAAATTTGTGAACAATATCCTAAGCATAACTAAGCATAATGAGTGAACTGGTCAGTGGAAAAACGACCAACATCAGAAAACAAACCAAAACCAATATAATATGTAACTATTATTTAAAAAAAGAAATAAAAGGGCAATGTGGTGACCTAGTGATGAAGATGCTCACCTTTCACTTGGAAGGTTAAGCAATTCAATCGCCCCGATTCTACCCTGAATTAAAGGGTTACAGGGTTGTAAAAAGAAAAAAATGAAAAGAGAAATTAAAAAAATGGTTCACAAAACCTTTATATTCTTGGAACATTTTAATGTTGCTATCATACTGGATTTGCTATTTTCCTCAGAAAGGAAATGTAATGTAGTACAGCAAGTATGTTCTTGAACCAGTTACATAAAACTCCACTGAGCAGAAAAATAGGTGTTTTCATACTTCTGTATTCAAGCCTCTTTTCCAATAAAAAAACAGTAAATTTAAAGCATGAACAAGAACTTCAAATATAGAAGTAGCACAGAATCTTCTTACTGTCAAATATGTATACTCTACAGTGTCACCTACAATATAGACTGGTTAAGTTCACATTAAGCTATGGCTTGTTTAACTATGGCTAACTAAGTAAGCCATGATTCATTACAGTGAAACATAAATAATGTTTTATAAAATAAATGGCTAGAATTACTAAGTCAAACCATATACCTCACAATATGGCTTACGGCTTAATGCAATATCTGAAACCTACTGTTATGGGTATCTTATACTGTATGTGATTTATATGTGACAGGAAAAAGCATAATTGTTACATGAATTGAACAGAATTATAGATCAGATTCCCTGAAACATGCTGGATCACCAATCAGACTTTACTGAAGTAGTGTAATTAAACTAGCAAAAATGATTATATACAATATATTTTATTTCATTTTATTTTTTTATTAAACTAGAACACAATTTATATATATACAGTCCATTACAGAACTCTTACCTTCTGTTAAAACAAAACATGACTCTGTATATAAACCACTGTGGAACTGGTATTAATAGTTAAGGGCAATATTAGACAACAGTAAACCAGTTAGAAATAACCATTTGTAACAAACTGAGCAATAGCACAAAATTTGATAGCCAAAATTAAGGTTTCACAAAAATATGTTGCTATCTATCCCAATGTAATATTAAAAATAGAACCCTTATCTCCATGAATCGTAACTTATCATTTAACATCTAATTAGATGAAAATCTTAAGCTGCCATAATGCAAAATATGCTTATAATTTAATTTAAATAAAAGATAAGGCTTCTGTTTGTATTGTATATATAGATAAAGGATATTGCTTTACTAAGGTCTAATAGCACTACTCCAGTAGGATCTTCCAAGAAAAACTTTCCCTTGAAAGGATTAGAAAAAAAAAACCATTAAAACGCAGTTTTAATAATTGCTCACAAGGTAAGATCATATTCCTATCTTTTCCCAACATCTATTTAACAATAATTAATTTCATCAGTTTGGTGTAGTAGCTAAGGCACTAGACTAGAAAGCAGGAAACAGTGAGTTCTAATGCTCCTTAGTCATGAAATGTGGCTGGATGACTTTGGGCCAGTCACTGTCTCTCAGCCCAACCTACCTCAGAGGATTGTTGTTGGAGGAAAAATAGGAGGAAGTTGTGTTGGATATGTTTGCTGCCTTGAATTATTTGTAAAAATTTGTAAAAATCATAAAGCCAGGAAAAAAACCAACCAATAAATAATGTTAGTATTTAGGAATAATGTTCTTCTCTCTCCTAGTCAACTGACACAAATCCTATCTGTTACCATCAGAATATGGCACAGCAGATCATTGATACCACACAGCTTACCTCCTTAAGCTGGGTGATCATGCCAAGAACAATCACTTCCCCCATTTTGGCAGAGCTACCCAAGAGTGTTTCTACAGTTTTGAGCTGGAATCAAGAGACACCAAATTAGTAAGAACATTAAAGGTGGCTCACACCTGACCTCTTTAAGACACTTTTTCTGGCCCTTGGAAACCATCCAATCTCAATTATTCCCCAAAATTGAAAGCAAAACCTGCACTTTTAGATGAGATACAATGTCAAATAGATCTCCCCAAATTACTCTCCAACCACTTATAGTCCCATTCCTATGCAGTCCTCAGCTACTCCTCAATGTGTAGCCCACAAGCACCAAAAGTTTGCCCATCTATAGTCCCCTATTTCAAAGCCTTCAGTAGATCTTCAGGCACAATAAAACATCACCCCAAATTTAAAAGCAGCTTTGTCCAATCAAATGCCTTCCCAAAATATTGAAGTATGTCACCAATCATTCCCACCCTGGCTTAAATTTATGGGAAATACCGTCTAAAACATCTTGCAGGAAAGATTATTCTGGGGAAGATTACTCCAAAGATTGAGATCAATTTAGTTGTGTGTCATTAGCATTTTGATTTTACCTGAAATTTACTTTTGCTTTCATCTGTGTGTGTGCCAACAGCAGATGGTGTGAACAATTCATGCCTATGGGTTCTCTGCACAATAATAAATATGAGTCAATTAAAAAGAAAAGTAATATGAAGTTATGATTTCAGCATTTGTTTTCAGGCAGCACTACTCTCAAATTCTTATTCAGAATAAGAATTGTCTTTCGTGGCTTTTAGACTTCATCCAACTCCAAACATAAAAGGCAGCAGAGAAAGACTGTTGAATAAGCCCTGCTGTGACTATCCCACCCCTGTAGAGGAAACCCAAATAACTGCAGAATAGTACAGCTAATCTCTAGAACTCAATGACAGAATAACCCATGAACTACTACCCAGAAATTGATCTACATTCATAAGAAATATCTAAGACAGTTCCTAGCAAGGATATGTAGGACCGTAATAATAATTTATAAATATCAGAATAAAAGTCTCCCTTGAAGTAAGCTAGATTCTTGGTGACTCGTTCTCTCAAACTGAACAGTTTCAAAAACCTTTATATTATGATTAAGCACTGAGTGAACTTAAAATTTCTTTCCATTTTTCCTACCTGTTGCAAAATGATATAACGTTCACGAAACAATTCTGCTTTATCCCTGGCAGAGCCAAATAAATTAGGTGCAGAGTGGTCGGTCATAGCAAGGCTGAAATAAATTTATACTTGGGTAAAAAAATGTATTTTTAAAAGGAAATAAAACACTGTTTAAAATAAAACTGTTTCTTCTAAAGGAATAGGAAATAAATTTTACATAACTTTAAAGTAGTTGAAATTCAATTTATTTAACAATTATATAATAAAAACTTACGGGAGAAATTTCTTTCGTTCAGAATTGTAAATATATCGTGGAATATCAAAAGCTCCAATAATGTTGAAAATATGTTCTCTGCAATAAAAATACACCTTTGAAAAATTCTACCATAGTGTTATCAGTTTTTACATTTATAAATAAATCATTTTGCATTCCATTTTAATTAGATACTATTTCAAGTTATTTTTTAAAGTGATTATATAGCTGTCTTATAAATTAAAGAGTAATTTGTTTGGTCCTTTTGCCAACTCAAGAAATGACCCGACTTGATCTTTGTAGCATCTTAAAAATATTTAAAACAGTATGTAACATAACACAATACTTGTTTATATTGTAGAGTCTATTGTAAGGTAGAGCCCTTGAGCAAACAAAATAATTGGTATTACAGAAAACCACATTAGTATTTACAAAATTATACAGAATCTTGTAAAACAAGTTTCTTTTAAAATACTATTATCTATATTCCCTGGTTTAAGCCATAATGCTTCTAGACATGGCAAATCAATAGGGGGAGACAGACACAGGACAATTAACAATGTGATTGCAAAAAACTCCTGGTGGTATTTGTTTTAAAATAAAGGAAGCTAACATACAATGTTTCATCTATTGATCTGCTGCACTCCAAGACTGCTGCTTCCACCATGGACCTTTCAATCATGTTGCATGACACTGAAAAGAATATTCCAAAATATTGAGCTGAGTCCATGCAATTAGAGACAGAAAAAAATCATTTTAAATGGTATTAAATCTCTTCAAAGTAAATCATGATAGAATTGCAAACATTTAGAAAGCATGACCTCAAAGCTCAAAATAAAGTTATACATATAGAATACTTTAATTAAGAAACTTCCAAAGAGAAAACACACCCCCAAATACTGACAGGACAAGCTACGATATATACACGCAGAGAGTAAACCTATCACTACAACCCTTCCGAAAGAGCCAGAAGATCTGGCTCTGCAAACTGGTCTGGGGCCCCAATGGGAGCCTGTCATTCTGGAAGTGATTAATGGACTAAGATAAGACCCCATCTTCTTCCTTGGTGATCTTGTTCCTTTCCTTCCCATCTTGTCAATTTTATATCAATTTTGGTGCTAATATTTGTTTTAAAGTTTTGTCTGTTTTTATGATTGTAGGCCACTAGAGTCTCCTCTAAGTGAGATGGGTGGCATATAAATTTAATAAATAAAAATAAAATTGTGTTCTGCTTGATTGTTTGCCTGGTTGCCTTGTCCTCGATTTTTCTGGGTGTTGGCTACTGGAGAAGACGTGTTCTGGTCTTTTTGTTTCCTTCTTAAAGTTTTTATTGTCTCTTTTGAAAGTTGTGTAAATATGGCTTGTTTCTAAGTGTTTATTGATGGTAGAATTGTCTTCATGCCAAGCTTCCAGAAAATCCCTAACAATTCTGGATTTAGCTTTATAATGTTAGTTGAAATTGTGATTGAATTGTGAGATTAAGGAATTTTCATCATATTTTCTGACTGCTTGTTGGTGCTCACAGATGCACACAATCCATATAAAACCTTCTAGAACATCTTAAATAAACCAAAAAACTCAATAGCCCAAAGGTAAAAAAAAAAAAAAAAACCAGGAATCTTCTGCAATATACAGTATAAGGCAGGACTGTCAAACTGCCGGCCTGCGGGCTGGATGCGTCATGCCGAAACCGTGCCCATCCCAGCTCCAGTAATGGGGAAAAAGTCAAGATATGTTGCGACACGTGACGTGGCGAGTTTGACACCCCTGGTATAAGGACTGTAATAGCCACTATGTAGGACAGACAGGCCAGCAGCTTTCAATATGATAGATCACATAATATATCACACATTATGATGAACACCACAGTTCTGCACTGGTGCTTCCAATAATTAAGAGAATTTTTTTCAAACGTTAAGAAAACTGAAAGTTTACTTACAAGACTGTTTTTCAACAGCATCAATTATATTTTCTATCATGTCTTCTAGTTCCACTTCATTAACTTCTTGAAGAGCTTCTGTGAGATACTTTGTAGCCTCCCTGATTAGTAATAAATATTCAGATTACTTCCCCAAAGCATCTGATAGACACTTATAAAAGAGTAAAATATTAATAGAAAACTTTTCCAGTTCAATCATCTGGGGTATTTTTCTAGCCACTCTGATAATTCTAGTTATCTTTCCTAGATAGTCACAGCTTAATATTCTCTACAGTAAATATGGATAATATGTTGCGGTGGTCAGATCAATTCACTGATAGAATACTAATCATGTCTTTCAATTTGCACAAAGCTTTGATAATAGCCACAGTTTAGAGCAGGGGTGTCAAACTGCCGGCCCGCGGGCCTGATGCATCATGCTAAAACCGCGCCCACCCCATTACCGGCAATGAAAAAAAAGTCACGACACATCACGTGATATTGCAAGTTTGACACCCCTGGTTTAGAGAATGGATAATGACCTCAAGAAGTTGTTTCGATTTCTCAAAGATAAATGTGGAGGCACTTAGCTTATGACTGTATTTTGTTTCACTCAACTTTCCATTAATATGTTGAAGAGTTGTTATTTGTCAAGCTGCAAGTATAACAGGATCATTAAATAAAAGTTAGTATCATTGCCTAGGTAAGAGCTGTCCACTGCTTTCTGATTTCAGATCTTTGTGTTTATTTATTTGTATCCCCTCCTTTATTATTTTTACAAATAACTCAAGGTGGCAAATATATCCAACATACCTTCCTATTTTCCCCACAGTAATAACTCTCTGAGGTGAGTTGCGCTGAGAGAATGACTGGTACAATGGTCACCCAGTTGGCTTTCACGGTTAAGGTGAGTCTAAAACTCAGTCTCCACTTTCGTCTAGCATGCTGCTTTAACTTCTAGACCAATACATTCCATACAACACTGTGCACGTGCATGTGCACGTGTGTCCAACATGATTTAGTTCTACATTGTAGACATTTTCTTAATGAATGGCAGGTCTCATGTAAGATCATGTATCATTGCTTTCATGCAGAAAGTATAAACTTCTTTGATTTACTCAGAAGGGCGCAATATCTAAGTCACAGGCACTTATGATATGAAACATTTAGTTTTTGAAGAGGCATTTTCTAAAATGTAGGTCTATATTTGGTTTACTAACTGAGGTCTGTCTTGAAATTTTATAAAATGTTAACTGGAAAATAGTTATATTCAAAAATATACTATCAATAACAGGATATTTGTGTTTTTTCTCCATTTGTGTTCTGCACTTTTTCTGTTAATTGCCATCGCAGCTCCAACCAACATTAGTCAGCTACCAACTTTACTACCAATGACAATAAAGATTGTAGTTTAACACAGAGATTGTACAGATAGTCCTCAACTTACGACAATTGAGCCCAAAATTTATGTTGCTAAGTGAGACAATTAAGTGAGTTGCTCCATTTTACAAACTTTCTTGCTACAGTTGTTAAGTGATTCATTACAGCCTCTAAGTTAGTAACATGGTTGTTAAGTGAATCTGGCTTCCCCATTGACTTTGCTTGTGAGAAGGTTGCAAAAGGTGATCACATGACCCTGGGATACTATAACCATCATAAATATGAACCATCTGCCAGGCTGCTGGTCGTGTGAAAAATAAGTCACTTGTCATTATTTTCAGTGCTATTGTAACTTTGAACAGTTGTGAACTGTTGTAAGTCAAGGACTACCTGTATTTGTATAACATGCTAAACACTAGTTGCCGTCATAATTTAACTTGACATAAGGTGTTAGGCAAAATGTGGTTACTTTACAGTCAATGTGTCATATGAGTCTGGGCAACTGTCTTTGTGAACCAATTAAATTAACTCTGGGTAAATGTGTTATGTGCATATAACCATAAATGTTACTATGGCAAACAAGGTAAGATATATTTGGAAAATAAAATCTTGAACTTCTAAATATCTTTATTACAAAATTCTTATGGTTGTGTTTACAAAACATGTTTACCAATTTTTTACTGCACTTTGACTTATTCAGTGGACCCTATTTCCAAAGATCACACCACAAACTTATTTGTAGTGGGCTCAATCCACTCTATACTATGCTAATAAATAATAATAATAATAATAATAATAATAATAATAATAATAATAATAATAATAATAATAATGTTGAAAGGGACCTTGGAGGTCATCGAGTCCAACTCCCTGCTCAGGCAGGAAACCTTACACCATTTCAGACAAATGGCTGTCCAGTCTCTTCTTAAAAACTTCCAGTGTTGGAGCATTCACTGCTTCTGGAGGCAGGTTGTTCCACTGGTTAATTGTTCTAACTGTCAGGAAGTTTCTCCTTAGTTCTAGGTTGTTTCTCTCCTTTATTAGTTTCCACCCGTTGCTTCTTGTCCTGCCTTCAGGCACTTTGGAGAATAGCTTCACTCCCTCTTCTTTGTGGCAGCCCCTGAGATATTGGAACACTGCTATCATGTCCCCCTTCATCCTTCTCTTTGTTAAACTAGACACACCCAATTCCAGCAACCGTTCCTTTTTGTTTTAGCCTCCAGTCCCCTAATCATCTTTGTTGTTCTTCTCTGTACTCTTTCTAGAGCAGTGATTCTCAACCTTTTTAATGCCATGACCCCCAACCGGTCGTAAGTCGAGGACTACTCAACCGGTCGTAAGTCGAGGACTACTCAACTGGGGCAGCACCGTTTGCAGACTGGGACTTTTGGCAGGCTCAGCAGGGCAGAGACAGCCTGGACAATTCCTATTGGCTTTTGAAAGCCAATAGAATTAGACTCTATTCAAGAGAGTCTATTCTATTGGCTTTCAAAAGCCAATAGAATAAAGGGGAGTAGCACAGCTAAGGAAAAGGGGGAAAAAATGGCAGACTGCGTCGTTTGGCGACCCCCGTGAAATGGTCGTTCGACCCCAAATGGGGTCCCGACCCACAGGTTGAGAACCACTGTTCTAGAGTCTCAATATCTTTTTTTACATCATAGTGACCACAACTGGATGCAGTATTCCAAGTGTGGCTTTACCAAGGCATTGTAAAATGGTATTAATACTTCATGTGATCTTGATTCTGTCCCTCTGATAATGCAGCCCAGCACTGTGTTGGCTCATATTTAAGTGATTGTCCACTAGGACTCCAAGATCCCTCTCATAGTTATTACTGTTGAGCAAGGTACCCCCTATACTATACCTGTACATTTGTTTTTTCTTGCCTAAATATAGAACCTTACTTTTTTCACCATTGAATTTCATTTTGTTAGATAGTGCCCAGTGTTCAAGTCTGTCCAGGTCCTTCTGTATCTTAAGCCTGTCTCCTGAAGTGTTGGCTATTCCTGCCAGCTTGGTGTCATCCCCTCATCCAAATCGTTGATGAAGATGTTGAAGAGCACTGGGCACTGGGCTATATTGTATTTAACTGGTTCATGTCCAGAATTAATTGTGACTTATTTTTGATTAAACATGCAACTGAGGTATTCAAAAAGGAATTTACACTCAGCAACATCTTAAGAGATGCAATCAAATGCATTACTTAGAACTGTGGTGGCGAACCTATGGCATGCGTGCCACAGGTGGCACGCAGAGCCCTCTCTGTGGGCACACAAGCCATTGCCCCAGTCCTAGGCCTTCAGCTGGTTTTTATAAAACCTTTTCGCTTTACGCCTCTGCCACCGTGTGCAAAAAAAAAAGGTTCAATCAATTTCAACTTCTCCCATCTCTCACAAAGTTGGAATTGATTGATTGAACTTTTTAATCCCACCCAGTCTGCTGTTGCCACCAAAGCCACATCCACCCAATGGGCCACGCCCACACAATCAGCCACATTCACCTGGCACCCGACGATACATAAGTGGGTTTTGGGTTGCAGTTTGGGCACTTGGTCTCTAAAAGGTTCACCATCACTGCCTTAGAATAAGTCTGATAAGTGCAAATAAACGTACTGCACTGTAAGTCAGTGTTTCTCAAGCATGACAACTTTAAGTGGATAGGGAATCCTGGGAGTTGAAGTCCCTACATTTGAAAATTGTCAAGTTTGGGAAACATTGCTCTAAGTACTTATGTATAATGTCACTGCTGTATTGTTTCTTCTGAACACATTCCATCTGGTCTGTTGCGCTTGCCAGGTTCTATTTTATTTTAAAAAATTTAATTTTAGTTAATTTAGCTCCTAACTGGGTAGTTGGGAGCTGCCCAGAGTCATTGGGAGGAGGGCAACATACAAGTTTAATTGTTATATTTGAGAAGTTATAGCGCATTAGTACACGTTACACTGTAAATCAAAATTAACAAGCCACAGTGTTAAAGAGGAAGCAAAGCAAAAGATGGTTTAACAGATTAGCCTAGTTCAGTCAACACATTAATCGGACGGTTTGATTTTGGTTCAGACATCGTGTTTCGTTAAACATAGTTTATAGTTTCCTTACTCAGAAACAGCCATTCAGAATGTTAACCGGTATTCAGATTAAAGACTTTTGGGAATTGTTTTCCTTTCTATTACTCACGCGCGGAGGACCAAGCCGTGCATTTTGAAAGCAGCGCCCACTTTACTTCTCAGCTTCTCCGCAGCCATCTTGAACGGTTCGCGCCACAACACGACTCCTCCCCGCGCGCTCCAGCCCTAAGCGCTCCCGCCAAGCCGGTGATTAAAGCAGTTTTGCGCTCGCGGCTCTACGGCCTTGCTGCCACTGACGGATTTTCTCTCGTAATTGCAATCAGTTTATTGGCTGATGGTAGTACCTGGAGGGTACCAACCCTAGGCGCTGGGTTTTAGGACTATGGGGTAATGCAGAACCCTCCACTTTTGTTTTGCCCCTTCTATGTAAAAGTGTTAATAAATGCATTTATTCAATATGCATTCCCTTCCTTGCTAAAAGGTGAATGCAACAATGCATGTGTATCCAGCAGAGACTCCTATCTAATTGCTTCCTATGTGCTTGTATTATTTGCCTATGGTTAAGGGTATGTTTTAAAAGGACCAAGTGTCAGACTGCACACCGCTGTAAAACAACCACATGAACTAAATTAGTGCCACTTGCTAGGCAAAACGTAGGTGGGATAATCTGTGGAACAATATTTTTGGAAGCCTTATATGCTTTATTTATGAAAAAAACTAGTTTTATTAATCTAATTTGTTTGGCTTCCCATCTATCCCAGAAATTCTGGTACAGAGCAAAGGATTACATTAAAACAAAAACTTAGTAAACTGCATCAAGTCTCAATATCCAACCTGGAATGCCTGAAGGAAGATAGGATTGCTGAGACAGACCTAAAGCTTTTCTTCAGTTGCTAAAGCCCATTTCTTTAAATAAGAAAAGCTTCACCAAGAGGTGTTTTGACAGATAAAACTTGGTCATTAGTATCTAACCTAGGTGTAAACATGTCCCAGCAATCTTGTTTTTCTGTCCCATCCTGATGACATTGACTTATCTTTTATAGTTGATACAGACTTTATTAGATCATCCCTAACAAATTTGTAGACGACACCAAGCTGGCAGGAATAGCCAACACTCCAGAAGATAGGCTTAAGATACAGGAGGATTTGGACAGTCTTGAACACTGGGCGCTATCTAACAAAATGAAATTCAATGGTGAAAAAAGTAAGGTTCTACATTTAGGCAAGAAAAACCAAATGTACAGGTATAGTATAGGTGGTACCTTGCTCAATAGTAGCAACTGTGAGAGGGATCTTGGAGTCCTAGTGGACAATCATTTAGATATGAGCCAGCAGTGTGCTGCAGCTGCCAAAAAAACCAACACAGTGTAAGGCTGCATTAACAGAGGGATAGAATCAAGATCATGTGAAGTATTAACACCACCTTACAATGCCTTGGTAAGGCCACACTTGGAATATTGCATCCAGTTTTGGTCACCACGGTGTAAAAAAGATGTTGAGACTCTAGTCTAGAAAGAGCACAGAGAAGAGCAACAAAGATGATTAGGGGACTGGAGGCTAAAACATATAAGGAACGGTTGCTGGAATTGAGTATGTCTAGTTTAATGAAGAGAAGGATGAGGGGGGACATGATAGCAGTGTTCCAATATCTCGGGCTGCCACAAAGAAGAGGGAATCAAGCTATTCTCCAAAGCGCCTGAAGACAGGACAAGAAGCAACAGATGGAAACTAATTGAGGAGAGAAGCAACCTAGAACTAAGGAGAAACTTCCTGACAGTTAGAACTATTAACCAGTGGAACAACCTGTCTCCAGAAGCGGTGAATGCTCCAACACTGGAAGTTTTTAAGAAGAGATTGGACAGCCATTTGTCCAAAATGGTGTAGGGTTTCCTGCCTGAGCAGGGGATTGGATTAGATGACCTCCAAGGTCCCTTTCAACTTTATTATTATTATTATTATTATTATTATTATTGTTGTTGTTGTTGTTATTATTATTATTATTATTATTATTATTATTATTATCATCATCATCATCATCACCATCATCATCATACCATTTTCCTTTAAGCAGACAATAGGACCAGTCTTACTATGAAGACAATCTGATATCACTGCTTCAGAGAGGAAGGAGGTACAGAGAGTGGTGAGGATGCCAGAAAAGATTATTGGCAGTTCTGTCCCTTCCATCCAGGACATAGCATATAAGCATTGCTTGAGCAGGTTCTGCAAGATTGTCTGGAACATTACACATCCTCTTCACAACCTGTTTTCCTTGTTACCTTCTGGGAGGAGGCTCCGTGGTATCCGAAGCAAAACATCCAGATTCAATAATAGTTTCATTCCATACAATGTTAACCTTGTGAACTCTAAAGCTTCCTCTTTCCATAATGTATTCAAGATGGTCAGTGGGTAATATTTATGTTATTTATATGTAAGGGTGAAAGTTTATACATATGTTGTATATAGCATGTTTAAATATATGGTATGTATATGTACACTTTTGAGAGCAAGCAACTAAATTTCATTTTTTTCCTTTTTCCAGTCTTTAGTATTTAATAAGCAACACGTCTGGGTTTATGTATTTAACATTAATAGTAATACAATTTCCATTCCTACCCTTTATTCCATTTTTCTAACCATTTATAAAAAGTTTCCCATGTTTGAAATTATTCTGAATCTTGCTTCTCCTTCATTTTCAATGTGAGCCTATCCATTTCTGCACACTCCAAAGTTTTCTTAATTATGTCTTCTTCATTTTTCCAGTACTGAGCAAATATAATTATCGCTGCTGTTAATATATATAATAAATATATACATTTCTTATCATAATTTTCTGAAATTATGCCTAAAAGAAATAATTCTGGTTTATAATCTACATCCTATCATCTTTTCTAGCCACATATGTATTTTTGACCAATAGTTCTTTGCTAGAGCATGTCCACCAAAGATGATAACACATGCCTGAATTTTGTCTGCATTTCCAACAATTGCTAAACACATTTTTAAACATTGTTGCTAATCTTGCAGGTGGTAATTTCCATCAAAAGAACATTTTATATAAATTTTCTTTATAAGTAGCTGCCCTCGTTATTTTGTAGTTTCTTTCCCATAGATTTTGCCATTTTTCTAGCTCTACATTGTGCCCAAAGTTTTTTGCCCAAGTTATCGTTGTTTCTGTAACTTGTTCATCTTCCATCTTTAAATTTAACAGAAAGCTGTACAGTTTCTTAATTTGTCATCTGATGACAATAGTATATGGTCTAACGTTGTCTGGTCTTTGTAAAAACCATATATTTTGCATCTTTCTCATATCTCATTTGCATTTGCAGGTGTGGCCACCATGATAGCTCAATGCCCTGTTCTTCCAATTCTTGTTTAATTTGTAGTTTCCCATCAGTATTCAAAATATCTTTATAAGTCACAAGTTTCTCATAATTGGTTAAGTTTGGGTGTACAAATGCCTCCATTGTCGAAATCCATCCTGGTATTTTAATGTAAGTTCTTGATTTTATCTTTTCCCATGTCAAAAGCAGTGCATTTCTTACATAGTGGTTTTGAAAGTATTTATGAATTTTGTTTTTCCGATAGGAAAGAATGTCATCCAAGTTGTAGGTCATGCCCTTCTAGGTATAATAGTCTTTTATTTCTAAGAGTTATCCATTCTTTTAATCACATTAGTGCGGCTGCTTGATAGTACAAGACCCAGTCTGATAGGCCAATTTTCTTTTGCCTCCATTTTTTTTTTTTTTTTTGCTTCTTGTAACATTTTCAGTCTGATCCTAGCTTTTTTCCCTTGCCAGATAAATTTCAATATTGATGTATTTAATTAATCGGGAAAAAAATATGTTTGGTGTCATAATCAGCTAGCCCTAAGAAGCAGAATTAACCTGGCTCCTATTGCCATATTAGGCTGCATACTCTGTCAGTCCCTGGCCACTGCTCTCCAAGGCATGCTGAGTAACAGGAGAATCTTAAATTTTCAAGTTGAGTTTTCCTCTGTATATATGGAGCCCATTTTCCCTATTTGAAGGAAAGAGATGAACCTGATTTACAAGTGACATAAAGGAGGAGTATACACAAGAGAAAGGAAGGGAGACTTCTTCTACACCAGGCAATTCCTCCCTAACCCTTTTTGGTTAATTAAAAAAGTTTATCCCTCTTTTAGAAGAACCCCTTTTAAAATAGCCTGACAACAGCTGACAGGTAGTAGTGCTGAGGGACTACTTTTAATGCAGAGTTCTTGTTTCTCCCTGCAGCTTACCCAGTACCTGTCAGCTGTTTTTTAAGCTTCACCAACAGGTGGTGAGTGAGGGGGAGCTGAGCAGTGATCTTCTTGGAAGAGGCAAGGTGACAGAGACAGTGTGCACCAGTCTCTGATCACATGGATCAAGTCAATCAGGCCTGGCAATCAGGTGCTGTGAATTTTTGCAAAACCTGGACTGGTTTTAACAAATAACTAAACCCACTGGTCTAGCCTTCCATCAAAACTTGCAAATCAGTGATTGCTGGATTTTACCCTACCAACTGGTGATGTCATGTGTAAAGAGCCTTATATCAGCATTTAGGAGGCTATGTACCTATGTCAGCAATGGGGACAGTAAACTTTATGGCAGTATAATTTTTGACTGACAGGTTTGCAAGAACAAGCTCATCTGAAACATGACTTCAAGACAAAGTTGTTAGAATATTTACTAGCTAATTTTTATGTTTATAGTGGGTATTTTGACATTAGGAATTGCTGTAGTTTTTTGCTATTATAAATTTTATTAAATATATTAATGCAGTTTTGATTTGGGGTTTATGCATCAAGGTAGATATTCAGGACTGTATTGAGCATATTTATAATTCAAAAGTACTGTATGGATCAGCAGAAGTGCGTATGTAGCACAGAATTCCATTTAGGATCAATTAAATTTCTAAATACTTAAATTCTCCCATCATTATCTTACCATAATCCACGAAGTTGTGAAGATTGCCAAGGGAAAATTAGTTCACACACCTGTTTTAGGAGTAACTACCACAATTGAAAATGTAAATTTTGAATTCACCAAGCCACCTTAAGTTTATTATCCAAAACATATAAATGCATTTGTACAGTGCTCTAAGTATGGCTGGGAATATCTTCGATTTGCTTTCTTATGTGGACTGGTGCATCAT